TTGGCAATTTACAGCTTCCACTTTTAGCAAGAGGGAAAAAGTCTGTTAATATCTTAGCAAATGTTCAATAAGTGTTAAGGTTTTATTTGAGAAACTATCTGTATTAAATATTGTGACCTAGCGACACATTGGTGGCAAACTGCCAGAGGCACAGTGGTGCATAAGGATCTCAGAGTCTGATATCTACACACTAGTTCGCCAAAGAGCAGAGGCAAGATCAGGCACTTGCTGCCTCAGGGTGCCTGTGATTTTATGAAAGTAAAAACAGGACTATGCAGCACTTTAAAAACTAACAAGATGGGTTATTAGGTGATGAGCTTTCGTGGGCCAGACCCACTTCCGCAGATCAAATTGTGGAAGAAAATTGGCATGACTATATATACCAAAGGGATACAATAAAAAAAATGAACACATATAAAATTGACAAATCAGATTTTAGAACAGAGGAGGAATGAGGGGGTGGGGAAGTTAGGCTATATCTAGACTGCAAGCCTCTTTCGAAAGAGTCTTTTTTGAAAGTATCTTTCGAAAAAACCTCTTTCGAAAAAGCGCGTCTAGACTACAATACGCGGATCGGAAAATCGATCCGCTTTTTCGAAAAAGAGCGTCCTGACTGCTGGACACTCTTTTGAAAGAAAAAGCCACCCAGAACCACTTCTGCTACGGTATGGGGGCAGCATTTCCTTCCGGGTGCTGCGGCTCTTTCGAAATTAAAAGCCACCCCGAGCCGCTTCTGCCAGGGCATGGGGGCAACATTTCCTTCCGGGTGCTGCTGCCTGCCCTTTGCAGAGACGCGTGGTTAAAGGGACGCCCCTGAACACCCGTTGCTCTGCTTCTGCAGCTGCCTTTGCTGTCCCTTTAGGAGGTAAGCAAGGCATTGCAGTGCTGGTTTGGAGTGCTCAGCTTCCTGGGACACCCCAGCAGGTTTTTTGTGTGGAGGTTTTTTTGTTTTAGACCCGTTTTTTTGGCATGGAGCCAGAGCTGCCCCTGGGCAGGCGATGGCCCCACGCCATCATACTGCAATTGTTGCTGCATCTGCATGACACAGTCATGAGGCTACTTCCCCATCTGGACCCAGACTAGAGGTACGAAGGGATCGTCCGTCATGCAGCCCCACTGCCCTTGCCTCCAAACTTCTTTGTGGACAGG